TGTGTGTGTGTGTGTGTGACAGAGATGGAGAGAAAGTGTGTGTAAATGTTCCAACCCTCTGCTCACAGCTCCAGTGCCAATGAGTCAACCAGCTCTCTATCTGAGCTGAGCTGAAGCCTCAAAGATTTCATTTAGCAGCACAGTGTGTGTGTGTGTGTGTGTGTGTGTGTGTGTGTGTGTGTGTGTGTAGCTGTGATACAGAATATAGCATTCCCATAGTTCATCTTCTAAAACAGCAGGACAGCTCTACACACGGGGACTGTAGGCCTGACACACACACACACACACACACACACCTTTAGCTGTGGTGGTTTGTTTGTTGTCACTTTGACTCGTGATGACTTTATAATTTACTTTGTCACTGAAGTAAAACTTGTCACTTCATTTAACAGCTCGTTAATGTTTCAGCGGCTGCACCTCTGAAAGTGATGTGGCTTTTTTTTTTACCTGACTGACTCTGTCCAACGCTGCATGTGTAAATGATGCATTGATAGCAGCCCCATGTTCCCATTAAATGTGCTTTTAAGTCATTCAAGATGTTTCACTGATGAGGGGGGGGGGCTGAAAATGCCACATCTACATGCCACATCTCACCGAACGTGATGCTGGAGCAGTTTCTTGTTAGTAGATGCAGACACAAATTGAAATCTCTCCTCTATCACCTGCCTCACTGGTCTGGATTCAAATAGCAGATTTGTTTTCAATCTCTTGTCTAAAAGCCAGGATGAACTGAGTCATTCAGAAAATGCATCATCTGGTACTGTACAGGTTCTTCAACTGTTTTTATGATAAAACTTCCCACAAATTTTAGCTGTATGACAACAAAGCTACAGTCCGAAGATGTTGCAAAATGATAAAAGAATGTATACATCTCCAGGTTCTATAAAAACCATGGTGATTTGACTTTTTGAGCTTACAGGTATATTTACACCATAATCATGTGGTATGTGCTGTTACCAGTGAGACATTTAGACTAACAGGTCCGTGAGCCCAGACATCTGTCCTCTGAATTAATGAACAGCATATAAGAGGAAAAGACAAATACTAGTTCTCTTCTTCAAAGTCAGGAGGATATGCGGAGTTCAGCCCATGTCTGAAAGCAGCTTTAGTTTCTCTGTTGCCATTTTAAACATTCAAAACTATAATGACAGGTTTTTTTTTACTTCCCATGTGTATGTTTATACTGTGTCCCCTCTGGCACATTCAAAGGTGTGTGAGTTTCACAGATGCCAAGTTTAGCTTCCAAACGCTCATATTTACAACACATATATTTAAACTTCCTGCCACTATACCTGGCGACGTGCCACTTCCTCTCCACCAGCAGATGAATCTCCTCAATGCGTCGATTGTAGGCGTAGTGCAAACGCTTGGGCAGGTGCTGCTTCAGGTACGGCTTGAAGTGCTGCTCAGCTTTCTTACACTGAAAAGATCCATTCCAGTGTTGCATGTTTAACTTAAGCAGAGTGAACTTCTCTCATTTTTAAATAACAGTTCTTTTTCTCTATTTTTTTTTTTTTTATGCCAGCCACATACTTACAGTTAGATTTGCAACAACAGCCTTGGGGTCATCTGAAAAAAGAGGAAAAGGGTCAGAGCAGTGGGAGTGTTTAAATGAACATCTCCTTTTAAAGTAAGACAAATCAAATTCTATACAAGATATTGTAACATACAAAAATTGGACTTATTGAACTTCCACTGCTGTACGGACATATTTCCTTGGTCTGATATTTGCAGCGGTAGCCACAGGGACTGTGCACACTAACACATCAGAGGTCTTTTTGTTTTTGCCTACAAATGATTATTTCATGTTTGCTGATGATGATGCTGAAAAGACTAAAGGCAGAATATAGTGAAGCTGTATGCACCTTTAGCATTTCTATTATACTAATACTATAGTATGCATTTTCATTGTTTGTCTGATTCACATTTACAAATTGCACCACCATCATAAAACCCTTCATCCCACAAAAACGATCAACAGAAAATAATTTGCCAAAATACCCAAAACAAAACTCAGTTCATTCCAGCTCGTGGATAAGAGAAATTCAGAGGAGCGCAAAAAGAAAAATGTAAGTGAATCTGTCACATATTGTTTTTAATAAGCTCTCACATTTCGGGTTGTTGGGGTATCTGGAGCGTATTCTGCCCAGGGACCCAGGGATGAGGATGATGTCATCAATGTTGGTCATGTAGTTACTGAGGAACTCAGTGCGATCACAGTGGGCCTCTTCCATACCTGATGACACACAGGGACACTGCTTTAGTGCCTTTGAGCCTTTCTTACTTTTGAGTTTTGTCAGTGGAGCTGTTTCCTTCCATGTCAGGTTCCAGACGAAATGTCTTTCAGCAATTTGATAATAATTGAACAATGATTTGATAGCACAGTGCGTGTGTCCTCACCATGATCCCCCACCAGGATGATGTTGACACAGCGGTGCAGTCTCATCTGCTTCAGTCCATCCATCAACTGACCAATGATTCTGTCAATGACCCTCAGAGGGTTGTTCAGCTGGAACACACACAGAGGGCGTCACAATCACCTGACTGTGTGTTTGGGTGATGCATGCTACACACAATTCCACACACACCCATCCCACAATTATAGGAAACACATTCTGTACTGTGCAAAAATAATGTGGGCACTTTATCTTATCTTATATAAAAACTATTATTATTTTTGAAAGCATCCTCACTTTAATTCACTATTGAGCTTTTACTCAGGTACAAACACACACACAGAAAATCAATACTCACTTCTGTACTCATGGGCCCCATTTTGTGTCCATATGTGTCTGGTTGCTCAGAGTGCATGGCATACACATAGGGCCTGAAACAAGACATGTGTGGGGTTGGAGATGTGTTTGCTACACACAAAGTGGCAGTAATAACTAATAACAACTTAAAATGACTGTGGCATTGTTTGGAGTTGTTGTATGAATGAGAAAACAATAGCTGAGATTTGGTAAATGGCACTTTTTGAATTCAAATTCAAATTTGGTGATAATATTACTTGTGATTTTATCTCCTGATGATTAACTTTTGGACCAGAAAATGGTCAATGACAAATAAAAAAAATTTCTGAAGCCTATATAGATTGAAGAATATTGATCATATATAGAAATGATCAAAAAGGTAAGATTGCATGCATGCAGGGTCTGCATCGCCTCTCTGATGCTTTTCATTCACTGAAAGTTTTTGACTGTGGACTTTTATCAGAATTTGATTAATAGCCTGGAAAAGGAACCTTTTTCGTCCAGAGTTTGGAGCTAATCACATGTGGATTCATTTAACGTTCCTAGAGAAACAGAAACTAAGCGTTACACCTCACATGACAGCTGGCTTTTCTCACTGCTGCCTCATGTGGCTGTTTGCAACAGGTATTAACACTTGTCCTTTCCAATATGGTCATCAGATATCAGATGGTAAACAGAGCCATGAGTCAGGTCTGAGTTTTAAACAGGAAGTGAGAATCAGTGAAAGACTCCCTGGCTGTGATATGTGCTCTTGTGTAGCTTGATGTATATATCCTCACATATTACAATTATGCTCTAATTATATTTTTAACACTTGGAGGAGAACAGGTCAGCACTCAAGTCAAATTGTATTTGTGTTTTACAAAAACACTCAGGTCTGTTTTTACCTCACTTAATTTTCTGTTGCAGGGCTACATTACATGATTCCAAAAAAGCCTTGAGATATGATGAAACAGTTTTTTCCACTCCAACTAAGCTGTGGCTGGAAATAGTGACAAAGAAAAGAAAGAAAGAAACGATGAAGCAGACATTAAATGTCAAACTGAATTCACCTCTCTCCTTCAGGGAGGTGGAGCCACTGCAGCATGGTGAGTATCCTCCTCTCTAATGGGATGGCACTGCAACACACAAACACACAGTGTAGTGTAACAGTGGTTATCATGGGAAGAAAACCCTGATGATAATAATTATAAACTTTTAATTATAGCGCCTTTCCAAACACAGTTACAGGGTCCTTTACAACTTAGAAATGAAAGATTGAAGGCAAGAAATAGGAAACAGGCGAAATAGGCAAAGATAAACAAGATAAAATGAAACATTATAAACTGACTAAAATAGCCGGTGAAATCTGAACTAGGAGAAGAATCAAGCACATATAAAAATGAGTCTTTAGTGGAGATTTGAAAGATGATAAGGATGATAGGGTTATGTTTATGTTTATACTATTTTATTAAATTTAGTGGAGTCTGGCTGCTGAAGGCAGGTGAAGAGAGAATTGCAACAATCCAAACGAGAAGAATCGAAGGCATGAATGACGATCTCTAGCTTTCTTCTGGATAAAAACAGAAGAGGATGGGGATGCACAAGCCAGAGACAGAAACAGAGTTTACAGTAACAGACTGAATCTGGCCTCCTGCTGCCCTCTTCAACCATTAAACTTTTACCTCTCACAGAGTCTCGTAAAGTTGAGGCGCGTGGAGTAGAACGCATTGAAAGGCAGCTCACTGTTTCAAGCGTGCCAGAGTCAAAGGCTGGCTGTATTCTGCCTGTGTAGTGATGAGGCCACCAACCAGGCTGCTGGCTGTCATACAGTCCACAGCTGTCAACCATCAAGCCCAGGACCGAGGCCCTGACTGGGGCTTGATGTGAGAGGCAGTGGGGGGTGGCATGGAGGTGTGGTTACACTGTGTTAATGTTTGACAGGCTCCTGCTCTCTTTCTCTACTTCTGTCTATGTTCATACTCTTGACTTAATTTTTCCTCATCCCACTGTCTATTTTTATACCATCACCACGGCAACAATCCCCATTACCGTGTCAATCCCCACAGTGGTGCTATAACATTAATGTCACGTTTTGTGTGAGAAGGCTTTTTCTTAGCCACACAGAAATGTCAGCACAGACGTCCAGTCTATCTGCCTCCCTGTCTCACACACACACACATGCACACACACACTCACACACACACACACACACACACACACAAACACACACACACACACAGACCTGTCTCTTTCGCCTTATTCTCTGTTTACTTCTCACACACCTCTGTCAGTGCCAAGTGCAAGAAAAGCACTGTAAACCACACTCTGGCCCCCCTGGCTCTATGGACTGGCATGTCTGTGACCCTCGTTCACAGAGGAATCCTGCATAGCTTAAACAGGCCCATTTGCACAAATTGCTGTGAAAACAGCCCAACGCCATCCCTGCTGAGATCTGCCTCCCGCTTCATCAAAGCCTCCTCTGTGCAGATAGATGTGGGTTCCTTTGTGTTCCGCAGGCTATAGGTGCAGTGCCGTGACCTGAGCGAGGAACAGGAACAGGAACTTTCACCACCAAATCATTTACAGTCTCCGGAGGATTTAGGGCCAAAGCATCTGCAGTGTTTTAAGGCACATTAACAGGAGGAGTATTTATTTTAGATCTGGAGAGTTTGCACTTTGTTTTGAACAATGTCAGAGGAGCTCAGGTTCTCCCGCATCAAATCTCAGTCCCTCCAAGTAAAATGCAGAGACCTTTTTTTTTTTTTTTTTTACAACGAGATGGATGTTACCATCTGAGATCTCCAGGGTGTCTGTAGTTAGGCCAGAAGGGTTCCCACACTGTGGGTCAGGAGCCATCATGTTATTGGTCATCTCATTTCTTTCAGGTCACCTTGCCGGCACAATCTTGTCTAGTTTTCCAACAAACAGTAACTGGGCACTGAACCTCAGATACAAAGGTAGTTAACAACGCAATGGTAAACCTGGTGATGCAAATAGGAAATAGTCCATTGAAAAGACTTCTTATTTCAAGTGGGCATTTTCAGTTGGGTTGTTCTAATAACACCTGAGCTAAAGGGTGTTGAGGAGGTAGGAGTCATTGAAATCAGTTTTGCATGGACATGGTGACTTTTCACCTTGTTTGTCATTCAATCATGATAATAACATGCATCTGAAAGTTAAACACTATATGTGTTGAACATTACTCATAGGTTGATATTTGTAGTCAAAATGGGGATTTAACGGCCCTGCAGTTATTTTCACCTACAACCCACACAGTGACACAGGCGTCTGGGGGATTTAGCCCATGTCAGCTGATGAAAACACAGATTGACAAACACAGACACAGCACTGAGTTGCAAAATAACGAGGCCTAAATTAGAAGCACTGATTAGAAGCGAAAGTAAATGAAACCTGTGTGTGTGTGTGTGTCGACTTACATAGGCCAGAAGAAGGTGGCAGCCTTGACTCCCTGTTTGAGTGCAGTGATCCAGATCTAGGAAACAAATAGTACAGTCTGACTATTGCATCAGTCTGACTTAGAATCAAACTAAGACACAGTTGTAGCATGAGGACACCAAGGTCATGGTCACTGCAGCATGATAAGAGAAAGAGAAGATCCCACTGTACAAGTTTAGGTGAAAGAGAACTACTTCTCTTCTTCCAACTAAAACCATATATCTGACAGTGTTTATACAGTATTTTAAATGACACTGGTAAAGCTATGATAGCAAAGCATCCTGTTTCAATATTATATTTGTTCAATTTAAAATCAACACCCTAATGCTAACATTTGGTCTTTTTTGTAAGTAAACCTTCAAAAAAGCCTTCCAGGAATTTTATTGACAAAGCTTTGCACTTGTCAGGACTAAGCGTGATGCTTATTATTAATCACATATTACCATCTGGCATTAGTCAATGGATAATAACATCTATCAGACCGAGTCTGTTAGATCTGAGTCCTGCTCTTCACATCGTCGTTGGCTTCAAATGTTGGCCTCTGATCTGTGACCTGACACACACACGTTTCAAAATCACTCATGTTCAAAAACATTCGCAAAGTGATCCGTCATCACAGCAAAGAGAAAAATAACTGCTCACTAATGAAAAACAATCACAGTGTTGATGAAAAACAGAGGGGAAGAAAAGAGAAGAGAAGAAAGGAGAAGAGAGGAGAAGAGAAGAGGAGACTCACTGGCTGCCCTCCCCACCAGCGATGATTGAGTTTCTCTCGGCTCCTCAGGGTGAACGTTGCGTCAAACACTGGGTCGTACATGGAGTTGCCAACAATACCATGAGACTCTGGATAAAGACCCTGAAATTGAAAAAGAATACTAATACTTGGATCATCATTATTTGTCTTCTTTTCTCTGTATTACCTCCAAAACCATTAAAAGATCTCACTGTATATTAAAGTACCATGATTCTCCTGTTTCAGTGCTAATGGACCTTTTCAGAGGTGGACTATAAATTCACATTTACTTTAATATTATTATTCGATTTTGAGGTATTCATACTTCATTATAGTATTTGTTTAAAGCCTTTTTACTATTGCTCAGCTACATTTCATGAGGAAAAATTGTAGACTTTAACATCTAACCAACAGCTATCGTTCATATTTACTTAGCACATGGAAGCGTGGTTAGAAAATCTGTATAGCATCATTTTCATGTTGTWTCATGAAATTTCTATATTGTTATGACATGATATGTTTTACCTTATAAAATGATACATTTATATTTTGTACTAATCAATCAATTAATTAATTAAATCTGATTCAGCCCAGATTCACAAATCACAATTTGCCTAATATGCACAATGGCCGAGAAAACTCAACGCACTGCAAATTAAGAAAACACATGCAAATAGAAAAAAGAAGCAGAGAAGTGAACTCCTCAGTCGTGATGGAACTTCACAAAGCACTGAACTACAGCCAGGTTCTTCCCTTTCTTTAGTCCGCTGGAAACATTTCAATTGTTGCTTTTGCAATTTGAAGCACGTTTCTATATTTGCAAGTGTTGTGAGTTTTTGCAGTGTGTGACACAATTGATGTTGATGTTTGCAGTGTGTTGAGCTCTCTTGGCCACCGTACACTGGGCTGAACAAGATGCAACATCATCTGCTCTTAACCGTCAACTAAAGTACAGAAAAACTACCCCAAAGAAACATCCCTCTGCCAAGATGGACAAGAGTGCCATAGATGTCATGTGTAACAGAGCAGCAAAATAACAATATTTACAACCCTGATGAGATAAGACAGTGTCACACATAAATGGAGAAGTGTATCAATGCTTAAAGCATTTATACAAAAGAAAAGGTCTGACAGAGATGGAGGGAGCAGCACTGAAGTGGGTTGACAAATATCCGAGTCATCTAGTTGTAATCATAATCCACGAAACATCATCTTGTAATGTTAAAAACATCTTGTTGTAAGTAGATCTAAAATCTAAATCCTCTTGTTAAGCTCAATTTAAATAAACTTAAACCTCAAATTTCTCAAATGCCACATCCAAATTACATTTTGAATTTGAGCGTCAGTCTAAGATTAAACTGTAAAGCTACAGCTGAGGTTAAAAGTTGTGAGCCTGACAGCGTCAGGAACCCTGTGCCGTACCGTAGCCAGTGAGTAGAGGTTTGGAAAGGTTTTGGAGGGATAAACAGGTCTCATGTACGGAGCATGGGTTCCACATGTTCCTGAAAACAAGAGCAGCACAGAGCAAACACCTACATCAGCACAATCCCAAGTTCTATTCACAATGGTTTCTCCATTTACAGCGTTCGAAGGTTTTTACAGCTAAAATAAAAATCCATCTCCCATTACTCCCATCAAGGTCTTACTGAGTTTGTCGATATTGGGAATGACAGTGTTTCCTCTTTTCACGTAGGAAGCTCTGAATCCATCCACTGACAGCATGATGAGCGGCGGACGCACAAATCTGCACACACAAAATCAGAGGAGGAAAACAAATGCTCTCATGGATTTAAATAGGAAAAAGATAGTTCAGTCCTCAATACTTCAGATATGTGGCATCTAGAGAAGGTCTCAGGGAGGAAGAAAGAACCTCAGAGAAACAAGGATGTCCAACTTGGATTTTGGTTAGGGAAAAGGGGACAAAGATGAAATTTCATGCAAACATAAATAATGAAAAATCTTGTATTATGGTCACTATCTTCACAGTATTCATAGTTCAAATGTAGATGTACCCAGCTGGACATTCAGGGTTCTTCATCTCCTCACACTCATCCTGCAGCCACGAGCTGTCTCCTGAAAGAGAGATGTTCACTTTTAGCTCTGACAACATGGCTCTGCAGATGTGCTGCACAGATTGTTGTGTATTCAAATTTCTACAGCTGGTTCCATACTGACTTTGGGGTTCCTCTGAAGATGTTATAAACGTTTGATTAAACCTTGAGAGGAGGAAAGGTATGGAGTAGCGTGTTCAATGTGCATGCTTTTATATATATATATATGCCAATGTAAATCTATTGGATCAATTGGCATTATTTCAAAAAGTGCTAAATCACTTGCCCCATATTTGTGAATTTCTGGTTCGATTAAACAACAATAATGTTTACTCAAAGATCACAAAGGTAATTTTATATAAGTGTCTTAACAGACATATTAATATAGCAAACCTTTACACAGTGTCTTGTAGTTGGTGCAACAGTCTCCTCTGGCCAAACAGTCTTCAGAGCAGTGGCAGGCATGCAGTTCATTTCGAGTCTCCCCACATCTATCCTTCCTGCACTCATATCCCCCGTCTGTGTATGGAAGGAACAGTTCAGAGAATCATTTTATAAAACTCAATTAGGGGATAAAACCTGAAACCACAAGCACTGAGAAATGAAAGCTGATACATGAGTGTAGCAGGGCTTCAGATGCAGACTGTGTGGCTGCGCAGGCGGCAGCATGGGACCACCAAACTCTACAGACGAGAACACCAGATGAGAGTTGACACCGTCGTGGTAAAGCCCCAAGAACGACCAGAAAAACAAGTTATATCATCAGTAGATTTCAGTGGCAAGGCCGTGGTAAACCAAAGACCACCAGGCTGAAGAAGAGAACGGTAAGTCAGACCACCAATGCTGGACGAAGCTTAGAGAGAAATGACAACTAAAAGCTACGGCTAGCACGACTATTAAGAAGCTGGTTCATTTCAAGTGCATGTACATTGAAGCGACGGTCTTTTTCATGCTGCGAATAATAAACTGTGATCAGGCCTCATAATGAAATGTGGAGGTTTGACCAAGGCTTAAAGGTACAGTGTGTAGAATTTATCTAGTGGTGAAATTGCATGTTGCAGCTGAACACCCCTCACCTCACCCTCTCCTTCCAAACATGAAAAAGAAACTGTGGAGCCTTCAGTTGTCATTAAAACTCAAAAGGTGTTTAGTTTGTCCAGTCTGGACTAATGTAAAAAACATGGCAGCCTCCATAGAGAGGGTCCCCTCAATGTAAATATAAAGTATTTAAATATAAAGGGCCTTTTCTGGGGTAAAGAAAACTACAATTC